ACTGGGGGTGGGAAGGGAGAAGGGGACAACTGCAAATCAGTCAGTCTCAGCACATCCACAGAAACACAATATTTTCCTCCAAGGAAAAGGCTCTGTCTAAGCTCCCATGAAGTCAGGTTGCTTTTTAGAGTCTTAGAGGTTCCTGTATTGCTGTTCTGACAAAATGAAGGAAACCACAGACTTCAGGGACAAAATCAGAAGGTTTGTGTAGTGTCAACCAGGCCCTGCCTGCCAGAACTGGCAGCAGCTGCACTGTTACCTCCTCAATGCTGAGAGCTCATTGCCTTTCATAAAACACAGCAGCTGTTTCATAGGACTTGCACTCTAAAGCAATCTGTCCACCCTGGTCGAGGAGACCCCACCAGAACCAAATGTGTAAATAAGCATTCAACAAGTCAGTGCTGCACAGCCTATGAATTGTCCTTTGCTAGATCTAACCAACATCAGTGAGACAGCTTTGGAGTGCCAGGGCAGGGTTTGCACATCCTTTTGGTGGTCCTCCAACTGTTCCCACTAGTCCCTCGAGGTACCAGCTCCCTCAAGCCACATGTAGCAGATGCTGCCTGCAGACCCACAGTGTATTCTACAAAGATGAAACCCATTCATAGAGATAGTGAACTGGCTGCTTCATGTACCAAGGCATTTCATGCAGAAACAACAAAACACTTCAGCTACAGCACTCATTTACACTAGACCACAGCCTCTTCCCACTCTCCAGCAGCTGCAGACAGCCATCAGGATTACTCAGCCTCCACTTGTACAACCACCTTCTTCAGTCAACAGATCAACTGAGATAAGCCCATTCTGCATCGACCTTTCATCAGTTGTTAACTGCTTAGGTACTGCAAGCAGGCTGCAGGGTCTAAAATATAGGCCAGATGACAGAGCTAACGTCAGCCCTGATTTGGCAGTGAGTTGTAAAAGGCTTTGAAGAAGCAGCCAGCACAGACTACAAAGCTTGGCACGCTCACAGCCCTGCTAAACCATCACAGCAAACCCTCCCCTACACAGGGCCGAGCTCAGGAGGTGGTTCAGTTCCATCTGCATCACTGATGCAGACAGTGATATAGAAAGGGCTTTGCTATTCTTTTCTACAGTTAGTTCCTTTCTTTTGAAGAACTTGAATGTAGAAGCTCTCCAGACTGACCTGCCACTTGATTTAATGAAGATTTGCTTCAGTAACCTACAGAACCTACAGGCACCTACAGAAATCCACAAATGCTAAACTCAAACAAAAACTATAGGCAAATACAGATCCTTTCCAGGATAGAAGTTGTCACAGTGCTCACTGTTATACCCCTGCATGATTAAATCACTCAAAACATTATACATAAAAGTTGAACACATGAAATGAGTGAGTAGAAGCCATTAAACAGTTCATTGATGGGAACTCAAAAGCTTTTCTATCTGAAACTTTAACAAAACAACAAAAACATGAAGTCAAAGGTTCACCTTCAGCACCTCCTAATAAAAACCAAGCACACTTTTGCCATGCACTGAAAAGAAACTGCAAGAGTAACAGGTCTGTGAAGCTTGAGTGATTCAGTCTGAGCAGGCACTAGAAGTATTGCAAATTAAAAATCTGTATGCAAATTAAAATGTTACTAGTTGACTGCAGGTACATATATATATGATGAAACACCTGAGCAGCTGAATTCTAGTGTCCTGTTAATCTGGAGGTACAATAAGTTTACAGAGTTTTTAATATAGGTTTGCCTTGTTCTGTGAGCTTTAATTTTGATGTCTTTTGAACTGAAATAATAGAGTGCTCTGATATGGTGTGGCAGCTTGTATTTGGCAAACGCATCACACAAGACAATGAAACTACTTATCCTGGAACTAAATGAAGGTGAACTTTTAATTTTGTTGGAGAAGGGTACATTTCTAAGCTATCAGCAATACAGAATGTATACCAGTAAGTAGGACTAAAAACATCTCCTTAGTTTCTATCTCTATTTATCAAAGATACTTGCATTGAGGTGAAAGAGCAGAGACAAACTGTGAGGCTTCCTGTGAAGAACTGTGCTCTATGTCTTCTCCTCTGACCCTTGCTTCCTGTTCCACTTCCCCCTTTTCCTACTGACCTTCAGACACCAGTACAGGAAGTGGCAGAGAAGCCAATTAATTAGTTAGACAGCCCTGTCTGCAATCATGAATTCTCTCCCTTCTCTCATCTAAGCTTTTCTAAAGGCCAACATGGAATGCCAACATGTGTAACACTGTATTCTACACAGAGGCTACTGTACCACAGTGAATTCCTGAACCAGGACCCTTTGGGAGCCTTCCTGAACAGAAAAGATCTGTGGGCTCTCAAAACTGCAGTCTGTGCATCCCAAAAGAGAAAGGCAGCAGCATAAAGTGCAACACACACTAGGCAATCTCTTTCTAAAGGCAGCATAGCCAGTTGACTCAGGCCTACACATCATGAGCTCTAAAGTCAAACTTCTCCTTAGCCAAGATGTGCTAAGTTTTCTTTGTGATGTTAGGGCACTTTTCCCTCACACAAGTATGGTATGTATATGTTCCTTTGCAATGCATTTAACTGAAACTCTTATGTTTGGGGGATTTTTTTAAGTTTTAATAGTAATTGCTGACTTCTCAGTAAAGAGAGAGACAAAAGGTATTTTTTTCCTCTGTGTTTACAAGTCTCTGTGAGTTTATAATAAAATCAAACAAAAGAGGGCAGATAACCTGCTCTAACCAGCCAGGCAAGCTCTCCAACAACTTAACTGTATTGTGCAAATGCACAAACCACCAGTACAGCAACCAAGTGAAAGCTTCTTCCAGGGGTCCTTCTCTACTGCCAGCCTCTTCCTTCCTTTACTCCATCTCCTACAGCACAAGCTCCCAACTGAAAACCAGGTCTGTCCCCTCACCCCACAGGCAAGTCCAAGATTTAGCTAGAGGGGAATGTCTGAGGAGCAGCAGTGTGACAGGCTTTACATTCCTGAAGACACTTCACCAGTTACCATCAATTTCTTTATTAACTGCTAACACAGCCCAGTCTAATTTTCTTTATTCACAGCTATATTAAGCTAGCACATCTTTTCAGATCAGCATTCACCACGACAAGGGAAACACCACCACAATGGATGTGCTCTTCAGAAAAACGTAGGGGAAAATAAAGGATGGGATATTTCAGAATACAAAGAGGTCTATTGCTAATGCCAACAGTTTCTGGAAAATATGATGGAGCTCTTGGTCCAGGGACTGCTAATTGCTAGGCACTGGCAGCTCTATTGCTAGATTTTGAGGGCACCTTTGGATAATACCTGAAGACAGTACACAATATAAAAAGGACAATGAGTCTAAACTAGTGCATTTAATTCAAGTGTCTAAAAACTGAAATGATTTAATCCATGAAAAATTATTCCTTTTAACCGTGAAAAGAATAGACTGAGGGAAAGGACAATAAAGACAGAAAAAAAAAGAATGGAGTGCAACAAAATCCTTTCACACCAAGTGATAAAGTCTCAGGACAAATGCAGTCAAAGCACTTCATCTTCTCTAAAAGCCCAAGGAGCAGAGACATTGAAAGGCTGAGGAGGGGCTGTGTGCTGAGCAGAATTGCTGCTACCATCCAAAAATCAGCACTTAGCAAAGCCAGTTCTGAGTATCAGTGCCACAGATCAGCTCTTCTTGAAGCTCCAGCTTTAGATTTTGAGAAAAGCTGAGATCAGTGACACTCAAGATACAGTGGTGAGTTCATTTCACATACCACAAGAACCAAACCAAGGGGCACCTAAGATCTCCAGTCCAGCACACAAAGGGTACCAGTGAGTGCAGGAGCTCATTACAACACAGTGCTACACATTTGTAATCGTATCCATCCCCCTGACCCAATCCCCAGAAGCTGAAAAGACAAACATGTGCTGGACAAAATAAACATGACAGACACGGAGTTCATACTCACAGCACCGAAATATGGAGCCTGATGTACAACACCTGTGCCTTCCTCCTCTTTCACATAACCATCTACTACCACAGTAAAGGCACCTTTATCTTTGCACTGAAACACAAAAACATGGTTTTCATATATATGTACATATTTATATAGCAAAACAGAATCTTGAGGACCTGGAAGAGCCATTAGCCACACACAAGAGTAAAAGAACTGCATTGCAAATAAGTGACACAGTCAAACGTGATATTCCTAATGCTTAATGATTTCCCATAGCTAAGACACCCAAGGCTGGAAACTGCAGGTAAATGGTGTCAAATGGGACTAAATCCAAGACCTCTCGAGAAGGCCTCAAAGTCAGCTACTCTTCAAGCCACAGATCTTGACACAGTTCTGTGCTTAACAGACTGCAAATCAATACACTTCTGAGCGTGAGGGTACAACCAAGACAGCTACAGAAGTCTCCTGGCATTTTTCTATGTTCACTATACCTTCCAATTTAAAAAAAAAAGTTTGCTTTCACAGTCATACCTTTTCTTTATCTCTTCCAGAGAGCACAAGGGTGGTTAATAGTAAGTAAAAAGAAATAGAAAATCCATAAAAATTTGCCAAGAAAAGATCTGGCAATTTTCAGTGTGGTCAGTACGTGGCTAATTTAAAAAAAAAAAAAAAAAAAAAAAGAAAAAGAAAGAGGCCTATTTTCTATTCCTTAATACAAAAGTAGTAAAAATTACTGGACTCACAGCTGAACGAAATATGTTACAAAATATTAGATTAGGCTTGTTCTGAAGAGAAATTCTGAGATAAGACATCCATTCTAAATTAAAAAATGGGTGGTACCCACTGCTTCTTACAGCAGGACTCACCAAATGTATCCCTTCCAACCTTTACAGCCACAGTCCAACTGCTCAGATTAAGCTGTGTTTGACTTTTCTCCAGACATATCAGACCTCCCTCCCTACAGAGGTTTTCTCACCTTTGCTGACTTTCTGCAGAAGCTCCAGAACAGATGGTGTCACCAAAAACCAAATCCCTCACACGAGTTACCTGCTGCCTGCCCAGCAGTGCTGTACTCCACTACTTCTCTTGGAAAAGGTTCATCCATTTTTAATCAGGTTTTTTTTAAAATATGTAAATTCTCTAGCCCTCTCTTATTGCTACATATTCTATTATCACCTGTGGCACTATTAACTACACTAGACTTAATGCAGTGCTTAAATGCAGCACAGGACACTCACAGAAACCTGATATATCAGTGGGTATTGTAGCAAAGGCTTTGAACTGAGGACAGTGAAAAACACAACATGACTGTGACTGTTATCCACAAAGTCAGTCTCTTGTGGAAACAAAACTTGTGGACTTAACAGGCAGGCAACAGAAACTCACCAGATAAGGAGTTGAAAGAATATTGCCTGTTTAATAATGTGTATTGAGAGTTTCACTGCAATCTGAAACCAGACTTGTATTTCCCACTGAAATCTTACTCTGGGTGTGTTTGAAACTTAAGAGAAAAAAAAAACAGAAAAAGCCAACATTCTGTTTTTCAATAGGATTTTGAAGTACTTCAATAAAACCTGGACTTTATTATTAGGACAAGAGATCATTATAATATAAGCAGAATAAGTTTCATTTTTTTCTTTTTAGCCCATATCAAACACCAAACTTGTTCATCTTACCTGAATAAAATATTCAAAGAGTGGTTTATATTTCTTGCCTTTAAGAGCAATACCAGGAAACCTGAGGAGAAGGATTAACATGAACAAAATTAACAACTTGAAAATTCTGGTAGGAATGCTGGTTTTTCCTTATGTTTTCCACATCCCTGACAGAATTTGACTTCATAAAGCAAAGAAAAAAATTTTCCCTCAATAGTTTGTTTCCCATTTCTACAACTCTTTGGCAATTTGGACTCGGACAAAGGACATAATGTAGCTTAATGCATGTCTGCTAGCAGGGAACAGGTACACTTGTACCTGATGGACTTTCAATCAAGCAATCATTGTAAATAAATATCAGAATTAAAGCATTAATAACCAGCTGTACCTGATAAAGTTGAGCAAGGAGCTTCTGGATAAAACACCACATTGATAACAACAAAGCCCTATAGCTCAGCATGTTCCAAAGAACTACATGAGCCCTGATCCAAAACACCCCATCACAGGCCCAGGAGATTGTGATACAGAGCACTGCGGCCTTTAAAGCTCTGATGCCTCATTCATTACTGTAAAACTAGGAATCCAAACTCTCCACAGGCAGCTCAGAGCATCATCCAACACAGTCAGGACTGACTGAGGAACCAACTGTGCTGGACAAGAAGTATAAGACAGAGAGCCTGTAGATCTGGCTCCCTTCAGGCTTCTGACAGTAGCTGACAAAGACTGACTAAATTGGTATCACACAGCTCAGAACTCTCCTGAAAGTGCTTAAATCGTCCCATTTCAGGAAAAAAAAAACCCCAAACAAGCTAAAACAGAACTTGCTGTAATAGACAGGACA